GGAACAGACTGAGACCTGCTGGACAAGGAGCAGCAGTGGTACGCAGCCCTGGTGGCACAGCAGTGGGGGTGGCAGCAACGTGAAGCCTGCTTCGAGAACAAGCTGCTTCAAGGAATGAAAGGAGGCGTGTGGGTGGAGCAGAATGAGAAGAGGAAGAGGGACGGGGGCAGGGCTGGGGAGGCACAAGGGGACCCTACGTGTCACAGTCAACATTAGTTACTGGGTGCAGCAGCTGAGCCAGACCCACACAGTTGTCCTTAAAAAGAATAACCACCGGCAATGTTAAGCCAGGGTGACCAACTCATCCCAGTTTGCCTGGAACTTCCCTGGTTTTAAAACTGTAGGTTCCATGTCCTGGAACCCCCTCACTCTCAGACAGACCCAAATGACTGGTCACTCTACGTTTAGCATTTCACACGGGCTAGACACCGCGCCACGTCAGCTTTCTGTTCTTAGCTAATTAAATCTCACACCACCACGAGATGTCATTTCTTTTATGGCTCCCATACAGATGAGGAAACTGAGGTCAGTTTATTCCAGGTCACGCAGCAAGGGCGCGATGGAATTAGAATCAAGCCAGGTCCCTCTGACTCCAGACACTGAGCTCTTAGCCACTCACTGTATTTTAAAATCCGCAGGACCAAAACAATTAACAACTGTTTGAACTGGGGTCTCTGGTTTCTGGCCTTTCTGAAGAGCATCGCGGTGAGAGTTTCTGTTTCAGTGTAAGGGGGCGTCTGCTGCACGTGGGCATCTGTAGCTCAGCCTTTGCTGCAGCTTTGGCAGCTGGGCTCGGACAGGGGTGTCCAGGATGTGCGGTTGTACAGCAGCTTCTCGGGCACGGTGGGTGTCCGACGCTTTTTTCTCCGAGGACTTCCACCCTCTGGACAGCACCTGTGGAGCCTTCGGGGCTGCGGAGTCTCACCTGTTTGTTCTCTCACTTATTTCTAAGGGGTGTGCTTGATTCACTGGTGTGGAATGACGTTTCTCCTTTGGTTGCGTTAACCCTGTCAGAGAACTTTTTATCTGAGGACAGTACAGAACTTCATGAATCAGGCTTATCAACACGTATCCAGTGGGTCACGTGTGGCCCACAGGGAGACTTGTGGTACGGTTGTTTGCCATGGTCACCGTTTTAAAATTTTTGAAGTCAATATTTAATAGTTGACATATTTTGCATTTAGAAAACTCAATTCCAAGGTTCTTTTGAAAAAACAGAAGATCTGACCCCACTGGGGCTGCGAGCTGTCTCTCAGCTGGGTGCAAGCAGCTGTGGCCCCTTCACACACGGCATTAACAGTGAATTCACCACAAGCCTCTCTACACCAAATTGTCTCCCCAACATGAGAGCCATCATCGCTTGAACCGGTGCTTTTATTACACTGGAGAAATATTTCTCTGGACCCATGTTGCTTTTACAGCAGGGGAAATAAGATCTCCCTGGGATTTTATTCTTACCCCTAGCTTCTTTTTTATTTTTACATGATCTGTCTGGACCCCACAGACGTTTCAGCTCAAGTCAATGATGGGAAAAGGGTTTCTACTTCATAATGGATTTTTTTGTTATGTGTAATTTACCCAAAATTTTCTAGAATTTCGGATTTTACAGCCTCATCCCTCCAGATTGTAGAAACCATGTAGGATTGTATAATCTTTCACTTTGTTATAGAAAGATATATATTCAAAACTAAAGATAAAATAATCATCTTCTCTTACCACCATTTCATGAAGCAAAAGGACATAATTAAGGTAGACATAATCATGAGGGAAAGAATGAGCATCCCCAAGAAAAAAGTCACATGTGGTTGCTCGTGGGAGTAACGTTCTCAAAGCTGGCTTGCACATAAAAGAACTTCAGGAACAGCTAGATCCAGGAGCACACGCAGTATCATCCGTGCCTGGTCTTTCTTTTTTTTTTCTCTCTCTGCTCTTCTCTGTGTTGGCTTTCTTTTCAGGCAGATTCCCCCCAGAAATAGTGGTGGCTCTGGAAGCTCCATTCTTACCTCTTCATGGTTTCAAATCCAATAGAAAGGGGCAGGTCTCTCTTGATTATTTTAGCAAAGCTCTGCAGTTAGCTCAGGCTTTATCCACGTTTGCCTATGCTGACCCCATCACAGCAGCCCAATCACATGCAATGCTCTGATCGGCCAGGCCTGAGTCACGTGCCGTGTCCAGGGGTAGAGTTGGTTTGCCTGGACCAGTGGAGGGGAGAGGGAGAAAGGTGGTTCCCCGAGGAAAATCCAAGTCCTGGGACCAGAAGAAGGGGGAAAAAATGCTTGCTGGGAAAGCATAAAATTAATTAATGAATTATTAGATAAATAAATAAATGTCCCCTACCATGACCTCATACCATGATAAGTGTTTGCACTTTTTCTTTTTTTGATTTCACCAGGGATTCATGAAAATGTAGATACCACCCAACGTTAGAACATCTCTATTTTGTAATAACATATGTATTCCCCTGCTACTGAGACTTGTCTTGCAACCACTAACAATGTACTTTGTCTGCAATTGTTGTAGACAGCGGACTCTGCAGAGAAGGCCACCACGCCGCCGGAGCCAGAACCCACAGGAGCAGCCCAGAAGGCCAAAGAGGGCTCCTCCAAGGACAAGAAGTCGGCAGCTGAGGGGAGCAAGCAGAAGAGCAGCAAGCAGGAAGCCAAAGACCCAGTGCAATGCCCAGGGCCGGCCGCAGGGGATGCCAACTCGCTGCAGAATGGCGACAAGTCCCAGAAGAGACCTGAGAAGCGGCAGCAGTCCCTCGGGGGCTTCTTTAAGGGCCTGGTAGGCAGATTTTTTTGCCTCTTCTTTCTGGGCTCTCTGGCAAGGGGTGTGGTTCCCACCTCCAAAGGGGACAGATTGGACAGGGGCTGGCTGGACATTCAGCAGACAAATATTTATTGAAGACCTACTGTGTGCCAGGCACTGCGCTAGGTGCAGAGAGCAAGATAGACAGCCCTGGCCACTCTGGAGCCCATGGCTGTTGCTGAGTGTGGGAAGAGTCAGTAGCGGGGGGGAAGCCACATGGAGGAAGGCTGAAGGTGAGGACCTGGCCTGGCCTTCGGTTTGAGGGGAGAGTGTCAGGAAGGCTTCTCGGAGGTGATTACATCTGAGGTGGCACCTCAATGTAGCCTGTACAGGAAGCAAGGAGAGGCCTGAAGGCAGAGTTTTTCTCCTTCCCTAGACTGTTAGCTTTGGGAAAACAGTGACCTTGTCCATTCACGGATGGACAATGCTGTCCTCCCCAGGATAGTGGCTGGAACATAGTAGACACTCAATTAAGTATTTGTTGAATGAATGAATAAAAGGATGGATGATTAGATGTATGGATGGGTAGGTAGATGGAGTGAACTATAACACTAGTAAATGTTAAGTATATTTAGGATAATTTAAATCCTGGAAAACACAGAGAGCCTGAAGGTCATTACTTAAATTATAAGCAAGGTGGTCAAGCATAACCTCAGGAGAAATAAGCAGTCATACCCAGGATCCGAGGGAATATGGGTTGATCCAGGGATCAAGACAAGGAATAACACTAACACCAGCAGTGGGCCCGTGAATTGAGGTTAGCCTTCGTGCTGCAATAGAGGCGGGTAGTTACGAGGAACAAGCTGGCCTAAACCCTTTGATCACTCATGACTATTCCATTCCATAGATACCCACAGCTATTGGAGACCTCCACCACTAAAAATAGCAACCCTAACTCTTTTATAGCACTTACTGTGTGACACATACTGTTCAAAGCACTTCATACATACTAACATTTAATCTTCACAACTGCCTTGCGGGAACTCCCATTTTACCCATGGTAACATTAAGGTGCAGAGGGCTAAGCAACTTGACCGAAGTAACACAGCTGGGAAGGGGTAGATCTGGGATGCGAAGCCCAGCAATCTGGTCC